ATATATAATAAAAATACTGAGAAACTCTCACAAAATTTTGATCATAAATGTAACTTTTCTACACATTAGTTTGCTGTTTACCAATAATCTTCACACAGGAAAAGATAAAATTTGAGCAGCAATTATAAACTACGAAAAAAATAATTGTCCTAGTCCTTGTCTAACTTACTTTGAAACATTTAAAATAAATTACCTTTCTGTCAACAATTTTCCGTAATGAAAACCCTGAAATACCTATGCCTCATCACTAGATGGCAAAAAACATTTTGCATTAACAACACACAGAAGACAGAACTGGAGATCTTCCACAATTAATTATAACTCTTTTTTTATGTTTACATTTCCCTCTTAGTTATAAATCTTTTCAGCACATGATCAAACATGAATGGCACCATAATTAAAATAAAGTGAGACAGATACAGAAAAAAGGAGGTAAAAACAGCTCCAGTGATGTTTTGGTTTCTGATGCATACTTTACTTTTTAAACTGTCATATATAAATAAGTACTACAGTATAATATGTGAGAATGCAGTATAGAAATGTTCAACTAGAGAACAGACTTCCTACATGATCAAGAGAAATTATTATTTAGAGTTTTCAGCAGGTACATGCTTAAAGACATAAAAGGCCACATGAGCATGACTCATAATGACGGATGCCATGCAGAGCCAAATCAGTGCTACTGTGGAAGAGAATATGACACACAGGGTCACATTAGTAATTAACAAAGCCACTCACCAAGCGAACGCTCCTGATCATGTCCCTCTCCCTCGGCTAACCCGAGCAAGCAAAACGTGAAGGAAAGCAGGTGGAAGCCAGACAGCAAAGATCAGAGCACAAAGGTTAAAGGAAGGAAAGAGGGAAAGAAGAGGAACAGGAGGAAGGGGAGCAGAGAAGAACTGTGGATCAAACTAGAGACTGTTTCAGACACATAAACAGAGCAACATGAGGTTAATATGTCAGAGCTTCAGAAGCATTCAGAAGAAGGGCAGATGTTAGGAGTGATGAGGCAGCAGCAGAGAAGCTTCTGATTCCTCAGACACAAAACGGCAACAGCTCAGTGCTGACTTCAGCATGCTTGTATAAACATCAGGCATTGAGCTTGCTCCACAAAAATATCATATAAAGGCAGATGAATGTAAAACGCTTGTGAATTAATGATTGTAGGTTTGTGAGCCATGTTCAGCCCAGGTTCATCCTCTTTCTGCTTTTGGCTTGGATGTTTTCCAATTTGTCCCCACTGAGATTGCATTTCAGGTCACTTTAAGATGAGAATTCCTTTAACAATGAATCAGGATTAAGTTTGAGGATGGCTGAGGTGGCAAAAAGAAGCAGAGCTCAGGCACATTCTTCTGTGGCAAATCAAGTGTGGGCATCAAAGCAGAGCTCACCAGTGTCTCCCCAGAGAGGACCTCCAGCAGGGAGATCAGGTTATGTCCATCACGAAGGTCTTCATACAGATCTGTCACGTGACGCTGAGCCTGATGGGAGGAAAGAGAAACACAGCAGAGGTGGTGTCACATAGATACATGAATCGACAAACAAACATTTAGTTTTGAACAGAATGTGGTCTCAATACAAAGTAATGTAGTTTTGTGACTTAAGTCACTGCTTAACACATGAAATGATGGTTGAATGTTTGACTAAAACTACTTTCAGTGAGAGCAGTGTTAATTCTCCTCAGAGCTCAGAGCGTCCTGTGAGCAAGCACGACTCTACACAAGTCAGGAATGCATCGCCGTAAGGAACCACACCTGACTTCTGCTCCAGATGCCAAACAGCAGATGTCAGCCCTGAGAAGTGATGGCTCAAAAAAAATAAATAAATAAAGTGAAATAAAAAAATGGAGACATTGATCTAAAGGTGAAATAAAGGTGAGTAAAAAAAAACCTCACTAAGAGACAAATGTATGTTTTGAATTGAACACTGAATTGGACTGAAACCATTCTTCACACAGCAGGGGTGTGGTGCAGCTGAAACCATACTCGCAAGGGAGGAAAAGAAAAGAAAATGAGGCGGTGCCAGGAAACTAGAGCCTAGATTGAGAAAAAAAGAGCAGAACAAACCCACTGAGGAAGGGGACCGTCTTCATGCAACACACAGCAAAATTCTTTACCGGCGTGTGCTTTACCTACCTCTACTTTCCAATGCTTAGAGGAGGAGAATGATGGAAAGAAACACAAAATAATTATGTTGTTAGATTTGATTAAAGATCCAGTTTATTGATCAAAATCAGTCTGGGTGTGTTTGAAAGAAACAAAAAGCCTCTGCTTTAAAATGTCTATAATCCTACAACATTTCAGCTGCAGTTGATTTATTTTGATATGATGGGTAAATCATGCAGTTTTAAAAACAACCTGTTTCTCCCTGATTGTAAAATCAACATAATAAACATTAAAATGCAATGTGAAATATGGCCACTAGAGATCGCAGTTTGCAACCCTAAACTCCTCTTCATGAAACAGTTTGTCGTAAAAATGGGAATTTTTGAAGTAAACACATCAATCACAAAAATCATAAAATCACAAGATGACTCACGTGGTACATGTTTTAAAAATTCAAAACACTTGTACAAAGCATATTATCAAAACACCCTATTACCTGCTATTAAGTCCCAACTGAGCAGAATCTATCCATCACCAGCCTTTAATTACTGAGCTGATCAGCTGCCTCGCTGCTGAAGGAAAAGTCCAAACGAGCTTACAACCCACAATGACAGCCCATCAGAGGTGTTTTCACTTGTCAATGATGCACCACACTTAAAACTTTATGTTTGAAGTTTTATACAACTTGATATCTTTTTGTGCTGTTCCTCCTAACTTTACTGCCTTATAAAGTCGATTTAAAACAACTTCAGGCCTCCTCTAAATAAATCTGATATTTTTCTCAGTTTATATTTTTGGCCTCCAGTCACACAAATTTTTTAAACAAAACACTGACATTCTCATCTCAAACCACTAGGTGGTGAGATATCAAAACAATATCAAACTAATATAAAAAATAAAAACATTTTGAGCCTGGCTAAAAACGGTTCCTGAAATTAATTGCAGAAAAAAATTTAAAACTAGCTTCATTGCTGTTTTTGTTTCTAGAGCACAAAGTAATATTGTCCATGTCAGAAACAGGCTGAGAGCTCCACATATCTAGCCTGGTTAAAACCAGTCCCTCGTCCTTCACTTTGCTTTGTACGAGGGGCTGGACTCTCGGCTGTAGAGAAGTGATTCTTGCTGGAGGCGTGGCCTCTGCTGAAGTTTAAAACGATTGGATCAGTTAGCCGCGACGTATGTGTGCCAGTAGCCTGGTTAAAACCAGACCCTGTCCTTCACTTTGCTTCGTACTAGGGTCTGGACTTGATGCATAGAGAATCGTTTCTTGCAGGAGGTGTGGCCTCTGCTGAAGCATGTGTGTATTGTCGTTGTGACGGAGGCTAAGAAGCTAACTGGAAATCGCGTGTGCTGTAAACAAATCTACTGAGAGGAGAAATATACCGAGCCAAACGAGACGACTTTAAATGTGAGCTGCTGCTTTGTCAGACAAATTTAATTTAATTTGAAAGCCTTATCAACACAGACTGGCTTCATTCACTTCCTCCACTGCTGTATGCTAAACTAACTTGCAGACACTGCGCAGAACATCGATGTCATTCAAAACTCCTCCTTCTGTTTGCTGATTGGCCCAGGTAAAATAAACTACAAGCAGACACTGCGCAGAAAATCGACGTTCTCTTCTCTGATTGGCCCGGCTAAAAATCTGCCAGCAAAATCCATCTCAATGTGAGAAGTCCCAGACAGAGCAGTGAAGGGAAACTAGAATTGAGCGGAGCTGCGTAGGAAGGCAAGGGCCAGACTAGTGTGCCAGCTCCACTGTGAAGGAGGCTAAGCTAAGACGTTAACTGAAAATCGCGTGTGCTGTAAACAAATCTACTGAGAGGCGAGAAGTACCGAGCCGAACTAGACGGCTGTAAATGAGAGCTGCTGCTTTGTCGGGCAATTTTAATTTAATTTGGAAGCCTTATGAACACAGACTGGCTTCATTCACTTCCTCCACTGCCATTGCTAAACTAACTAGCAGACACTGTGCAGAAAATCAACATTGTTCAAAACTCTGCCTTCTGTTTGCTGATTGACCCAGGTAAAATTAACTACAAGCAGACACTGCGCAGAAATTTGATGTTCTGTTCTCTGATTGGCCCCAACAAAATTCTCCTGAAGAAATTGTCTATGGGAGAAATCCCAGACAGAGCAGTGAAGGGAAACTAAAAGTGAGCGGAACTGTGTAGGAAGGCAAGGGCCAGGCTACCACATATTTAACTCACACACCAAAAACAAAGATTTTACAAATCTCCAAATCTCTTGGAAAGCATTTTAATTTTTTTTAACCAAGGTGGTTTGTGGAAAGGATGTACAGAACACCTCTGTTTTTAAAACTATCTAGAATCAACAGAGATCATTCTGCATCTGGACTGACATTCCATTCTGTCGTACACAACTAAAGAGATTTATAGAGAGTGGGAACAACAGGAGCCTTTTCCAGCCTTTCAGTGCTGCAACATACCTGCAGTCTGCTGCCCACCAAGTCAACCATTAAGTCATTAAATCAGTTCAGCACCAGGTTCATTTTGGCCAGAAGTGTTTAACATCCAGATTTAGAATTAACACTTTCACTGCCAAACCTGAATTTTTTTCAGTTTCAGACCCCCAGCAGTTTACTGTAGATGGTCATTTTGTTACAATATTGTTGATGTGAAAACATCTAAGCATTTCTTTTAGTTTAATACCAGTATGAAAGCAGTACATACCACCCAAACCCAGGAGTCTAAGCAGATCATGTGCTACTGTTAACATCAACCACTGCATGGGCTTTGGAGGCAGGATAGAGACAGCTAAGTGAGTCCAGATGTTTGATTCACCATTCAACATTTACAGAGGAACAAAAACAAAACAAAAGAGCCACTGCAGCAGCATGTTCCCATTCTGGCACCACAGCACATGCTAGCATGAACATTAATGGAAAGGATAACGCTCGCTGTGCCTTTTACCCACTTTTTGTTCCATTTGAAATGAATGAATAGGCCTGTCTGTGAGCTGAAATTAAAAATGATGGCTCTTCGTGTCACAAAGCTGTGAATATATGCCTGATGTGGCCTCTGCTAAAGTTTTATCTAGTCTACAAGATAATATTTAAAATATTTTAGAACTAGGTTGCAAATGTTTGACTTATTGAACATCTGTTCCTTTTTATTTTTGGTTATAAATTGATAATTGAATGAATAGCTGCATGCTTTGATTACTATTGATTAAATTTATTTGATTTTAAGGACTTTAAGGAAAACTATATTAATAATAAATAAATAAAATCCACTATTAGAGAGCAGAAATTTTGAAATAAATGCTACTGATGCAATTTATTCTAAATTTTACATGCATTGTGGTTAAAAATAATTTCCAATTTTTTGTATGATTAAATTGAATTTATTTAACATTTAAATAATAAAAATGTGAAGAAACTGGCCCTAGACCAGGAAGAAATAGTTCATTTTGAGCCCATAACTTAGTACGACAGCACTGCTCTCATTATAAAGCAGCACAATTTAATAAAACACTACTAGCCCAAACCTTCTGTAGTTTAACACAAATAAGCACAATGACCTCAAACCGGCTACTTGTTTTTAAATATAGTTTAATTTGAGGCAGATTTGCCAGTCAAGAAGCACAGCAATAGTTTTTTTATGAAGCCAGATAATCTGACCTTTAGGAAGGCTCCATTTTTTTCTTTATTAATAAACCTGATTGACTGAATTATTGCAGATATTAAGAAATGTCTGGGTCTCCTTGCTCAAGCTGCTGCCACAGCAAGCCCACTCCAAAACAAGTGGATGGATGTATTATTGTATGCATGTGTGCAGAAATGTGTGTTTGTGCTTTAAAAGCATGCAGACAGTTTTACCTTTATCAAATGCTTGTTAACCCATTTTGTGAAGGTCTTCTTCTGCACTCGATCTCGTTCATCTGCAGCAGAGAAAACAGGAAAACAGTTTATATCAGACATATGTAATAAAACTGCAAGTTAAAAAACCCCACATGGTGTCTCTCAGGTGTCCACATCTTTCTCTGTTTCTACCTAAACATGAAAAAAATGAACTAAAAACAACATGGTTTCTGTGGGACAAACATGACTCAACACAACCTGCATAAGACTCAGGCCACATTATGCTGGTAGAAGAACGAACTTTTTACTGTCTGGAGTATTTTTCTTTTCTCAGTCATGTTTCACTGCTTGACAGACAGCCATTTAATTCCTTAGAAGGAACACAAAGATGAAAAGACTTCCCTGCAAAGGTGAACTTGAAGTTTAGCTCGGTGCAGATGAACTGTGTGGTTGGAACAAGGTGTGATAAAACTATTAGAAGCTGATGGTTCCCAACATGTCACAACAAGATGTAGATGTCGAACACACCCACTAAGACAACAAAACAGGAACATTATCACCTAGTGTTATGATGTTCGGGCAAAAAACAAACGAGCACAGAACGTGTTTCTGCAGAGGTTTTAACTGGTGCAGTGAATCTCTCTGTATCCAGCTCTGATGACATTAAAGCTTAACAAGTAAAATTTAATCAGCAGTTTCAGACAATCTTATGCAATTGGAAGTGAGCTTTCCTTCTAACAATGTCCTTATGTCAGAGCGACAACACAAAGTCCTCAGCCTTATCTGAAGTAAGGGTGTGAGCTGACACACCCAGCAATGAAAAGCAAAGAGTGATTCAACATCAGAATAAAATTGACACCTGGAGGCCACATTTGTTTTCCTGCCGCGTGACAGCCAGCATTTGTCAGTGTGTTATGGAACGTTGCCTTGGAAACCTCATTTGGCCACCAGTAAAACTTGAGCCTTTTTACCATTTATATTTAAGTTGAGGAAGGCTGAGTGTAAGCATGTGACCCTTGAGGTCTGACTCCCTGTGAGGGGGAGGACAAGGGACTCGCTGTGTCCCCCCAAGTGGAGATTTAACGACAGGCAAACAGACCAATGAGTCGGGGAGGTCACCTCAAGAGGGCAGATGGAGGATTCCCACAAATAGTGCATCTTGACCTGTGGTTAACAGTGTTCTGTTAGCACCATGTTGATGAGCATCAACAACAACAAAAGTATGTCAGAAGTCACCGTCCATTTAGAGTAGGAGGACATATGGCCACATATCCAATAGGCTTCAGTGATGGGGGGCTGACAAGCAGTACTTTCATTATAAAATCAAATCAAAATTTTAAGCAATTTGTCTTTTACCAAATATTTAAAGAGTAAAGTGTTAAAAAGGTGTTATATTTGTATTTTACTAAACTATTTTCACACTTTACATGAACTTTATGGAAAAAAAACAATGTGTTAAATAACAATAAAAAGTGTACAATTTACCTTACACCATATTTTTTAAACTTATTTTACAACTACAGTGCCGTATTAATATACAGTATTAATCTTCGAGTTTTTGTTGATGTGCATTGACATGTGGGAGTGGGATTCTCAATAAGAGTTCTGGTTAAGTGCCATAATTAACCACAAGGAACATTTAATAAGTGAACTCACTTTTTGTTCTTGTTGTAAAACACAGCGATGAAGTTAGGGTGGGGCTGTCAATCAGGTAATTTGGATGTTTCTGAGAATTCAGACTCAACATTTGTAGCACAGTAATGCTGCATTATGTGAAGGAGGAAATATGAACCCAGACTGGATTTCTTTTCCCTAAACCCAACAAAGTAGCTGTTTAAAGTCACATCTCTGTCACCAGTGTCCACAGACTCCCACCACAATCACTCCAAATAGGTTTTGTAAAATATCTTGATTAAAACAGCAAAAAAAAAAGGAACAGTCTGAATAAAAATAAAGATAAAAATGAGCTCATCGTTCAGTTTGGAAACAACGGATGACAAACAGATCGTAGCTATGACTGACTCACAAAAACAAATGCAAACAACACAACAAAAACTGATGAGCTGCTGTCCAAGACAAAAAGAGGAAGCTGCTGATGGATTAAAGGGGAGTTTCCTTCTTCACTCTGAGCCACTCTGCAGGAAAGCACCCATTAATCAGAGAATTATTCATTTCATTAATGTGTAAATACTGTGTTGCACATGATGCTTGTCTTTGACAACAATCAAAGTCTCATTTTAACGCTCAACAGTCCTTCATCATCATGAAGCTTCTAAATCTATCAGAAGTCTGTAATCTGAACATGACACTCTTCTTCGTTGAAAAAAAAACAAGATCAAAGGTTAGAGTGACAGTTCTACATGAAACAGAACCATGCTTGTACCTTTTCTGCCGTCTGTGGCCTTCAGCATCCCTTGGTAATAAACATCATCTGAGGGCAACCTTTCTCTGCCCATGCTGTCAATGGAGAAATTCCTGTACCTCTGCTGCTGAGTGCTCATTGTTAGTGTTGGTCAGCTCACAAAATATTATTCTTAAAGATATTTTTTGTTGGTTTTCTTCTCAGTAGGACCTCCTGTGGTTCTTGTAAGTGTCCCCGGTCCTTGGCTCGTCCCACGGTGTGCAGTCTTATGTCCAAAATCAACTGAGCGCCTCACAAACCTGTGATTTCTTTCTCTTTCTGTCCTCTCTTAACCTCCTCGGTCCCTCATTTGCTTCGGCTCTACCCTATGTTTTGTTTTTTGTTTTGTTTTTTTTAACTCTCCCTGTTTCTTTCTACCAATCACTCTGCTCCTCTCACAGCAAACAGTGCCTGTGGGCTACAAAGCCTGAGCCTGTGTGTGATGTGCAATGTGTAGTTAGTGACGTTAGAGTGTGGAGGACATGGGTAGGGCTCTAAACCCGCCCCTTCCTCTTGCGGTAAGAGGGGGGGGGGGGGGGTTGATGGGTGAGGCTGAGGTGTGGTAACCTGAGTGTGCTATCATTGAACTGTTTGCGCAACATAACACACTCTCAAGTTGACTTGCAGAGCACAATAAGAAGCCATAAAAGTTGGTACTGATGACTTTTTATGTTTTTATCACACTAAATGAGAGTTAAATGAACAGATTATGAGTGTCAAGGAGGAGAATCTATTCAGGGAGCCTAAAACAGTGAGAAGTGTCTCACAGTCATCTCTTGATAATTACTAACTACAGTACATTTCTAAAGCATTTCAAATTACGAGTTATTCACCGACATTAAATTAAGATTTAAGTTTAGGAAGAAGCTCTTTAAATAATCCTAGCATACATGGGTGAAACTGCCATAGGCACGGGGTGGGACATATCCACCCCACTTCCAATATCTGTGACCTCTGCCCCCCCCCCACCCACACACGTTTTTCAGCCGAAGCAGGAAAAAAAGACCTTTAAAAATGTGTTCCCCCACTTTTAAGATGGTGATTACGCCCTTGCTAGCATAGATAAAAGCCCTTTTAAAAGCCACTGTCTTTTTAACTGGTGAGATATATGCAGGATTAATCCTTGGTTAAACATAATCGTATAT